CGTGTCACGGACCTGTTCCCGATATACTGGTCTTTTGCGAAATGCCGCGGGATTCCACCAACCGAGCGTGAGATCTCGATTTTCACTAACTGGCTGATACGGTACTGTTGCATACGCTGATGTAGCTATCCTACGCTTCATTCTTGTTGCATCAGCTGTCCCGGAAGTTTGAGGAAAACAGAACGATTCTTCGACTCGAGTTTCGTTTGTTTGCGAGGCAGCAAACTGTGTCTGTCTTAACGAACTATTGTTGAAACGATGCTATTACTAATATTTTAATTCTATACTAATTATTGCTATTATTATTATCAATAGTACACAGAATACTCCACTTTTCGTGGTATAACGCGAAACATAAACGGAAAATAAATTATCTTCATACGACGCTCCGTTTCGGAGAAAATGATTCTGTGTCCCTTCAAAAGACATGGCAATAATGGCACAAATTCATGATTTCTAATTTGCTTTAATTTCATTACTAATCTTTATCACGGAAGGCAACATGAATTTTACTTGATAAATTTTCAAATTTGTTTTCTTCTCATTTTGTTGAAAATGAAGTCTTGAATTAAAAAATGTTATACTTTCTCTTCGATTTATTTTTCCATATAGGAGTGAATCGTTCAACATGAAATTATATATATATATATATTCAGTTCACCACAAAAGTTTGAATTTATACGAAACTGCGAAAGTACAATTTCGCAATGGCTCGCGCAAAAGTAACGTTCTTCGATATTTTGCACAAAAACGACTTAATTATTCACCCGGTTGTACCATGAAAACTAAGACACTCGAGAAAATCAACGTGGTAATCGTCTCGTGTTACGCGTAACGGGCGAGCGGTACCCGATTGGTATACATTTCCACGGCAATTAACCGCGAAATCGTGAAATTCCGCGGCTCGTCGAAGCCTCCGCTCAACTACGCGCGCGTACGAGCCTCTTGCAGATAATTTTACAGCGAACGTTAGCTGGCCGCGGTTCCGCGAGGCAAACAGAGCAGATTCATTTCGACTCGAATAAAAGATGTTGGTCGATCGTTGGGACGAAGACGGATGATTCGACGGACTGGAAACAATTTAGCAGAGAGGAAAAAATTCGAGGGCAATCTGCGAGACGTAATAGATAGGCGCGACTGGTGAGCCCCGGTGAAATGGTAACGAACGAGACCGCGAACAAAGCGGCGTACAATGATCGCGTCCGGTGGTCTGACGGGGCTGCTGCAACCATGACGAAGACCGGAGAAACGTATCGGAATGATTCATCGGAACGTGCCCGCGCGAGTGTGGAGAATTCGAAAAGTTGAACGCGTCGAGGGGGCGAAAGCTGAGGCCAGCAGCAGCCCTTTGTGCTCGGCGCTGCCTCGATCCGAGGAATTCTTTCGACGTGATGCAATCCGAATTCGCCTGTCCCAAGGATACCAAAATCCCATCTGAAGAAGCAGCAATTTTTTTT